TTATAGAGACGGAATGAGTTTTCTTTTCATTTGCATGAATAAAGTTTTCATTTTCTATGGAGACCAACCATTGAAGCTTTGCCTTGAAAAGGTTATCCAAAGTTGAAAATCCTAGTGTAAATGAGAATCGACTGGCATTGAAATGTCATTTTCATTAGTTGTGACCAAACATTTCCTACTTTGCTCAACGTGCACAAAAATGAGGAGTGCAACTGTTCGCGTATCGGAGAGAGAACAAATATCATTTCTTCTTCCTTTATAATTTACTCGATGAACAAACGCAAAGTTTTCACAATGTTTGAATATTGCTGAAAATCAATCATTCAAGTAGTAACGGTTTTTTCTGTTATTATATACGCAAATTGAAAGTAACATTCTTTTCTTAAATCATTGTTCCTTCGTATAGTTTCTATCATCCAGTTAATAGGAAGAAAAAGTGAGCCGTTTACATTCTAGTGATGGAAGAGTGTCCTGTGGACTCAGCGCATGAGGAACGCATGACCGAGCTTGGAGAGCGGATTTCAGATTTGATAGCAACGCCTAAACCATATATGGACAGCATTAAACAACTTGTGTCTTTAGGTAGCAGTTCCAACACTATTGTGTTCTCACTACTGTTAGGTATTTTACTTGGTGCAGCTTCTTATATTGGATTCCAAAGGAGAAAGAGAACCAACGAGCCACTGGATCCCCCGGACCCTCTTCCACTTCCAATTGGCCCCCTTTTTCCCCTTATCCCCACACTCCCCCATGACAATTTTCAAACCAAAGTTGCACTACCATCCTTTACCCGCAATCGACAATTTCATTCACCCATACATACTCTCTCATCACATGACAAATTACCAAATGCAATTCTTTGCTTTTTCAGTTCGTTCATTATTTTTTTGCGCCATTTTACTTAATCACTTTAAATATGTGTATTTCTTTGAATAAAAATCTTTCTTTCTATACTTTCGACGACTATGTTCTCTTTTTTTATTGGTTAGTTTTCACTTTTTTTGTTATTAACTTTTAACAAAAATAATCCTTGCATTTATTGTGTATTTGTAGTATTTGTGTGTCAATGTTGCTATCAAATTTTGCTTATTATCTTTATTTTTGTTGTGTATATTTTTAGTAAATATTGTAAAACTAAACTAAAAATTATTTATTTTTGTCAATTTTGTGGAGAATTAACAAATATAGTCTTTAAAATTAATTCTTTTTTTGTTTTGTTGAGTTTTATGTGTTTATATAATAATTACTTTGAACATTTAATTGTAATAGTTAAAAATTAAGTCATTGATTAAATTTTTTTTATAATGTTTTCAACGTTTCAATTAACTATATTAAATTGTCATTATATTTTCTTTAGGAATTTAATAAGAAGATTATTTTAGAGTAAAAATGTATTATGAAAGCATGGAAACATTATGTAAACAGCATGTAATTGAACTTTCTACTACTACTATCTCATAAAGTTTAACTGACGTTCAAATTTCAATTTTTTTTGCTTTTCGAATTGGAATTTTTCAAACACTCTTCCTGTATGGATTCTCCCAAGACTTTCAATTCACACTCAGTTCTCTTTGCACACTGTCCTCAATTTTAAATGCCCCCATTTCTAATTTACCCATTCTTCCCTGCATCCATAATGGCAATTTTCAAATCAACACAATTGCCTTTCGGTTGGCCCCTCTTCTCCAATTTCCTCACACCCCTTTCCCCCAACCATTTTCCCCCATCGCAATTTCCCCTTCCATCTCTAAATGGGCCCATTCTTCCCCAGCCCACCACAATGGCAATTTCAAATCACGATCACCTTGGGGTTGGCCCCAATTGGCCCCTTTCCCCCTACCCATTTTCCCCCTTGGTAATTTCCCCACTCTCTCCCATTCCCAATTTACCCATTCTTTCCCACCCCACACCCATAATGACAATTTTCTAATCAAAATTGCGCGGGCCCATTTTCAATCGGCCTCTCTTTTAAAATTGCCCATCTTTCCCATTAGCAGAAAAAATCACTAAAAAGTCTGTTTTGTATACTGGTACTCATCATATTATGCAGAATCAGACCCAATAGCAAAATCAAAATCTTCATTTTACAGTATACCAATATGATTCAACAGTGGGTCAATTCTGCAAACAATGGATTCAAACGAGTTTCGGTCAACGATCTGTTTACTATTAAATGCAATTTACAACTATCAGGGAAAGAATGTGGGGATTTTCTCTCATTATGATTCTTGCCAAGCAAACTATCAACTAGGTTATCCTTTATGCGCTAAGATAAAAGACTATAAGTACTAGTTGGTGTTTTGTTTGTCAAAGCTATTTGGGTAAGTTCTTCTAATAGATCCATATGATTATTGTGCATTTGCTATTAAAGAGACTATCGACGATATATAAATATTATATGAAACAAAGTCTAGGATATGAATAACTTTATTTACATATGGGATAGTTTTCGTGTGCTAGTATAAAACATCTTGATGGAAGAGAAGGCTTATGAAAAATGGACAGACAATATACTGTAATTCAAACAACCCATGTCATTCTATTAACACTATCCAAGCCATATTCAACTTTAGAATGCACAATGAACTTACTCCTATTTTTGTCTCTTGTCTTGTATATGTCTTCTTCAATAGTTAAAACTTGTCTTTGATTCACCAATCAGCAACTTGTCTAAAGTGCATTTTTACATCGGCATGATGTGAAAGTCTGCAAGAGTGAGATCATTTTTCCAACTTCTTATCAATCTGAGTTTCCATATTACGAAACAAGTTATCAGTTCGTTTCTCATTCATCATAAAAAATACTCTTTTTTCTTTCTATTTGCTGAAAAAAGAAAAGAGTAATGAGTTGACGAATTAATAGCGTATTACAATTCTTTAGTCTTGTGTCTGGCAATCCAAATATACTGGACTTTTTTATCAATTGTTCGTGCTTCTTGAAATAGCTAGCTTTATACCGTCAAAGTAATTTCTTTTGGGTATCTGGAACAATCTCTTCCCAGTGCAAGTTGACCAGGTTCTGTTCGTTCGTTCGTAGAGCTGTTTCCATCTGACCTTGGTGTCGAAGAATATTGATAAACTTGAGTGTACACACTTTGGTAAATGTTTTCTTTTTCTTCTCAGTATGGACTGTCAAGTCTACTGCTTTCTCCCTTTCTTTATACCTTGGTTTCCTTGGATAGTTTCAAAGAGCTACAAAGTAAACCTGCTCTCTCTCCTTTTTGGTCATATGGTACTTGATTGCTTTAATATATATACATATATGTATGTGTGTGTGTGTTTAGAGCGATATAGTCTTGACACCTCGTTTTTGAGTTTAAAAGAAACAAAAATTGAGTCAATGATGACAGATAGGATGTATATCTAATAGCTTTGCAATTGTTGAAACACTCTGAATATTTTCGAGTCAAACGAAAAAATAGTTAAAACAACGAATTTTGGAGTCTCTATGGAAAAAAAAAGACAACGAAATTTGATAAACAATTGGCAACGTTGGTCAGCTGAGTAAAAGCCAGTGAACAAAGAATTCGTGAAATGTATGGACCAGTCCATTCTCAAACGAATAAGAATATGCGAGTAGTAAATAGAAAGCTTTATGAATAAATGGATGGGATGTAACTTTATGTAGTTTTCATTTATGAAAAGCCTACTGAAAGTTATTTATTGGAATCCTTTTATCCAGAGTGAGGTAAAGTAAGATCGTTGGCAACTTTGAACGAAACAATAAGTATGGTGCTTCTTATCCTATTGCCAATTACCAAAGGACTGCTAGTCAGTTGAAAAATCTCCATATCAAATATACAACACCTCAAAATGACTACTGTTCGACAATCAAGCCCTTTCCAAATTTTGTAAGGTTTTCTTTTTTTTTTCACGGAAACAAAAAACGATTTTACCTTTTGGATTCCAAAGTTTAAACTATTTCGCAGTTGTACGAGACTGAAATTTACAACAGACACAAAGTTATGAAACAGTATCAGAGGATCTTTTAGGACATGAAAAAGTATACGTTGACTTTGTCAACGTTCATAAAATCGTTTTCTTTGTTAAGGCATACAAATAAGTACCTTCAAGTAGGTGTTTCAAGCATATTTTAACAGGAAACAATTGTGCTCAAATTTCGAATTTTTGAGACAAGAAAGAGATAGCATTTATCGAAGGAAAATTTGCAAAAAAAAATGACACCTAGTGTTTTTCTGTTCATAAAGGTGTAGAACCATACATAAAATGGTGCGAAAATGGAAAAATAACACTTGAGCTTGTTTTGGAAAACTCCATACAATAAAACTAATCGTTCAATAAATGAAAGTTTTATTTATCTCCATCTCATGGATCATTTCAACCGTCTCTCTCGATATCTTGTTATATTTGAAATAGCTTCCTTGAAGAAAAGTCTTGTAAAAAGTGGAACAAAGTGTGCGACACCAACTTTGACTCGAAAGACATTGTTCATATTTTTTTTTACCTTTTCCATTTTCCCATAAATATATAGTTTTATACTTTTTGTTTCACTCGCTCATTTTTGCACAGAGTTTTCTCGTCTTTTAAAAGTCAAAATGCTTCATCTCCTTGTAAAAGTTTACTCATATTCCCAGGTTTCATTTCTTCCATAGTCTTGAGCCTATAATCCAACACTATCGTTTTCTCTATCGCTTTTTTCCTATCCATTTCATATTCGAGCGACAAAATTGAGCTTTGTAAATACAACATACGCTGCAGCAGGCTTGTATATTCTTCTCTCAACGAAGCAAACACAGACGTTCTTTTCTAGTTTTTCTTTTGAACTTTTCAAAAAGTTTTTTATAGACCTCTGGTGGTGAGATTTCTTCCACCGGTGATGTCTTTCAGCAATCCAACGTCTATTGATGTGGATATTACGTTAAACCGGATAGTAGTAAACAATAAATAAACCCAGGGTATGCAGCATCTTTTTCCATTTATTGTTTGACAGAAACTATTGGAGATACTTTTCAACTATTTCAATGTTATTCTCGCTTGTGTTTTCAAGTATCTGATGTCAGTAACTGTAAATCGATTGGAAGAAATGTTGAACAATTCCTTGAAATTTTTCTGGGTCTCACCTGTGATGTATTTACTTTATCTTTTTCGATTGACTCCAACATACGTATTCGTTTAACGTGTATACCTCTTCATAAAACTCAAACAGCATTGCTACGGCATGAAGAGGATCTTTTTTGTAACCATTCTTTGACTTTTAAAAGGCAAAGTAGTACTTAATAGAATCTACATTTCAAGACTTGTGCAGATGCAACAGAGTCGCTCTAAAACTAGTCGATAGGGTCTTGGACAGATTGTTCAAAGCACGTCGATACACATTCATAAAGTGTGTAAAGTCAAATGGTAGAAATAAATAAATGTGACGATACAGAATAAACAGATGGACTTGGAGAAAGAGTCGTTGAGGAGGAGTCTTGTCATTTGAAAGAGTAGGTTTCTTGGTGATCCATCAATGTTCCTTGTACAATGTCCAAACTGGCTTGTGTCTCTTCTTGAAAAGCTGGGATAATAGCTAAAACATTAGGTTGGGTATTATACAATGAACAAGTCTCCTTGATTACTGCTAGACCTTTGAAAATAATCTCTCCATTGTTATCGGTAATAAGTGTACAAGTTGTTTTTGGCTTTACGCGGCATCTTTTTGCAACGTCTTGAATGTTGGTCTCTGTGTTTGCAAAAAACTGAGTGAATCACAAAATATCTTTACAAAACAACTTGAGGTGTTTATCCATTTCTGTGGAGTGTTGATATTACCTTGAGAACCAGAAAAGGAAACCAAAAAAGGATTTCATCTATTCCCCAAAAAAAGGGACAGAAAGATTGATTGGTTTTACAATGAAACAATCAGTCCCCAAAAAAGGATGAAAAAGCTGCAACAGTATGTTCAACCAGCTGTATTGCTTTCAACAGAAAGGACACTACCAATTGGTAACGAGTCTCTGGTATGGATGACAACACTCTCTCAAACATAGGAGAGAATGGGA